GGGCCACATGCGAACCCTACCCCTACCCCCCACGATTTCTGAGGGGGAGGGTGGGGTTCACTTCGCTCGGGAGCTCCCGAACGGAGTAAACCCCACCCTCCCCCTCAGAAATCGTGGGGGGTAGGGGTAGGGTTCGCATGTGGCCCCCTAAAGAGATGAGCACGTTTTGTTGGGTGCAGGGTCTCCGAACTCGCCCCTCTGGAAGAGGCCCCTCCCCGAGGCACGCCCATCTGGGCCCCCGCCCCTCGCGGCGCGGAGGTTTGCCGCCACGGTGGACGTGCCCCACCTGGACTTTGCCACGGCGGCCGGGGCCACGCTCGCCCTGGCTCCCGGCCTGCGCGAGGCCAAGGACGGCCGACCGCGGGGGGGCAGGAGAGATGGCCTTCGCGAGGCCAAGGGGCGGGAGGCCTGCGAATGTTTCTGGCCCTCGCGAGTTTTTCTGGCCCTCCTAATTTAGGTCCCTCCCAAATGGTTGGGGTCCTCTTATTGTCAATCAATGTGGGCCAGCAGCCTCTGCACGAAGGAGGCGGCGGAGCGCCGCTGCGTTAGGCCGGCGTGCGCGAGGCCAAGGGGCGGGAGAGATGGCGGAAGGGCAGGAGGCGACGGAGGGAAGCATGCAGGCCGCCCAGCTCGAGCCAGAGTGCTGCAGGTTCGCCCCGTCTCCTGGCCCCCGCGAGGCCAAGGGCGGCCGAAAGGGGCGGGGGGGGGGGGGGCGGGAGAGATGGTGGAAGGGAAGGAGGCGACGGAGGAACTCCAGTAGGGGCCCGACCACAAGAGACCTTCCACAAGAAGTCCAACCCTCAAGACCCCAGGGCGTCCATGGACTTTTGGTGCGGGGACGTCACGCTTTCCATCGCAAGACCATCGAAACCCAAGAAGCCCAGGGCACGCTGGAGGCAAGCAGGGTGTTTCTTCTTGGCATGGGTCTCCACTGTATCCAGGCCGCGCAACTCAAGCCAGAGCAGTGCAGGTTCGCGTCGTGTCGACCAGCGGCGACCCCGACGCCGGCGTTCAATTTCGAACTCCGCCAGCGACCCATAATCGGTCGACGCAGAACGATCTGACATTTCGGAAACGGCCGATCGTTCAAGGTTGAACGATCCCTGCGATGTCAGGAACCATCGCCGAAGTCGGCACGACACGAACCTTTCGTATCCATGCCGCCCAGCTCAAGCCAGAGTAGACGTGGCCAGTGGACGTGGCCGCATCGCCGATGCATCGGCGATCCGTCGCGGTGCGGAGCTGGATTTTATCCGTCACGATGTCGCCATCCTCGGGCCCCGTTTAAAGTGAACCCGCATAGCAAGTATGAGCAACTTTACAAGGTTACCCTTGCATCCTTCCCCTTCGGCCCATCTTTGGCCGCTTTCGCGGGCCGCGCACCGCTCGCACAGCGTCGACATGGCCCTCCAAGGCCCTTGCATCCTCCTCGTGCGTCCTTACAGTCGGGGCCCTGAAGAAGGAACCCTTTTCGTTGGGGAGGGGCTCCGCGTTCCTTAAGAGTTTCGCAGTTTGCCTCAGGTTTTCCTTATGTCTTCGATCGGAAATCGAAGTTTAATAACTCATGGAAAAAAAGGGGCCTCGTTCCTTATTTTGGGTTCCTTAGGTCAAGCCCCCGACTGTACTCCACGGGTTGACCGCACTCCGGCCCCCAAACGGGGCGGCCTCCAGGGGAGGCAGCGCTGGCCCGAGGCGCCGATGGCCGGGGGCGGAGGAGGGCACGCCGCGTGCCGAGGTGAGCGCGGCGGGACCCCCCCCCTCAGCGGGGGTCCTCCTTCTTCTCCTCCTCCTGCTCCTCCCTCCTCCTCCTCCTCCTCCTGCTCCTCCTCCTCCTCCTCCTCCTCCTCCTCCTCCTCCTCCCCGCGGCGGCGGTCGCCTCGGGGCGGTCGGCGGGGCGCTGCGTCCCCCGGGCATCCGTCGAAGACGCCTGCGGCGGGTCGCCGCCGCCCTCGGCCTCTGGGAAGCGTCGGGCGCGCTCTGGGGGCCGTCCGGCGCCTTCGGAGGCCGTCCTGCGGCTCCGCAACCCGGCCTCTGAATCTCGCTCGCTCGGAAAAAGCGGGTAAAAGTGGAACCTCGATCAGATTATGCACGAGGCGGATGGCTAGGCAGTTCTGCTGCAGCTTGAACTCAATGCAAAAAAGGAAGCAGCCGCCATCAATAACAGAAGGGGGCCTCGGCGAACGCCACAGACAAATAACAAACTACACCAGAGAAAAAACGCAATCAGTGGACGGTTTTCGCTGAGGAGATCGACCGGGAACGTGGGAGCCCGGGAACCCAGAACCCACCGAAATCGGCCCCGAACCAAAAACCGGGAACCTGGGAACCCGGAGCAGGGAACCCGGGACCTGCTACCAAAATTGGCGGGAAACTTTTGCCAAATCTTTCATCTTCCGCTAGGACCCTTTCAGTGCAAGCACTGATTGGGGAAAGAAGCCTCCATCAATAACGGAAAGGGGGCCTCGGCGAGAGCCACAGACGAATAACAAATAACAGTGCGCTCTCCAGCGGAAGAGTCCCACCAAACACATGTCTTTCATGACGCATGGGGGGTTCTCCCGTCCCCCGGGTTTCACATGTTTCTCTTGACGTGGGTTCCCGGTATCTCGACTTGTGTGTTTGTTCGTAGGAAATTTGGACATCTGCCTCGCGCCGTCAGAACTCGGTTGAAACTCTGTTGGGACTCTGCTTAAACTTTGGCCCAAGACTTAGATAAACTTGAATTCTATTCTGATTAAAACATATAGGATTTAGTTTCGGGGAGTTTTCCCGGGAGGTTTCCCCCCCAGGAGATTTTTTTCGGAGTTTCATGATTTCTCCAGATTTATTTCCTGGAGTTTTCGCGCGAGCTTTTTTTGGGGGGAGTTTATGTGTTTCCCCAGAGTTTTCTGGGAGTTTGCCCCGGCAGTTGTTATGGAGCCTCAGGATTTCCCAGAGGTTTTCTAAGAAATCTTCCCGTGATTTAATCGGAATTTCCGGAGTTCGTTCTCAGTTTTGTAATTATATATAATGAGTTGTGGAATGTCCGGGCTTTTCTTGGAGTTTCGGGAATTCTCGGGAGTTACCCGGGAGTTTTCAAAGGTATTCTTTTCAGAGATTCGGGATTTCCCGGCAGTTCTGGGAGTTTCCCGGAGTTCTTAGATTTTCGCAGAGTTTCCTATCGGAGTTCCAACATAGGTCAAAAGCATTTTGAACCGAGCTTGAGTCGTTCTCTACAATCTCTACAGTTGTTTCATAGCAGGCACTGAAATGTCGACCACTCCTTCAAGGGACCCGGTTTTTACCCCAGATCGTTTTATCGACAGCCCCCAGGGGCTGGGAAAACGGCCCCCAGGGGCACAAGACGTAGGAAAGCCTGCCATCGCAAGTTTTTCGCGACCTCAGACCTCTCCTGGCATGCATTCTGACCGGAATCTCGATGCGAATCTAGCGGTGGCGACGAGGGCCTCCGAGTAGGCGTCAAAAGGCGAAACCGAAGGAAGGGTTGCGGCATGGATGCCTTCTCCTCCCCCCTTCTCATGCCCCCCCCGAGAGGACGCGTCTTTTCGCGTCGCGAGATCTGAGAGGGTCCGTTCATAGCCATTTTGGCCCAGGTGCCGTTCGGCTCCAAAGGCAGGGCTCATTGTGATTCCCCCGATTCGATTTGATTCGACTTCGATGGATTCCGGTTCCGATTCGATTCGATTTGGGATTCCGATTTGAGTTCCGACTTCTCGCTGGACTCATACAAGCCTGCCGATTTCCGCCGATCCGACGTTTTCCGACTCGGCTGCCGACTTCCGCCGATCCGATTCCTTTCGACCGCCGATCCGCCTTATCGATTCGATTCTGGGCTTAAGTCGGGCCTGTCCCTCTACGGGGGGATATTCAAAAATGGTCCAGAAAAAGTCTGGGGGGGACGATTGTTTGATTATGTTTGCTTGCCATTTCGGGGCATTTTTTCGACTATTTTTTTGTCTTTCGTCCAAAGTCCCCGTGTAGGAGGACAGGCTGCTCCGACTTATCGATTCGATTCTGGGCTTTCCTGCCAAAGGTTCGAGTAGTGGATCGACTACAGACTTGATTTGCCCCAGAATTTCTTCTTCTTGCCGAATCCACGGGCAATTTGCAAAACTTGTGCAGAGCTGCGAATGGCTGACGCGTTTTTCTTAAAGAGTCGACGTGAAAATAACTCTTGGGGCAAATCAATTCTGCAGTCGATCCCCCAGCCGAAAGGTGCCCGCCTCCCATGGCGGGCCCCCGCGCCGCCCGCCCCGCGGCGGCCCTCCCGTGGCCCGCGGGCCGCGGTGCCGCCGCGCCGTGGCGGCCCCTGCCCCTGGAGCTCGCCGCCGTCGTCGCCGTCGTCGTCGTCGTCGTCGTCGTCGTCGTCGGCGTCGTCGTCGTCGTCGTCGTCGTCGGCGGCGGCGTCGTCGGCGTCGTCGTCGGCGTCGTCGTCGTCGTCGTCGGCGTCGTGGTCGTCCACCGCCGCCGCTGCCGTCGTCGGTGTCGCCGTCGTACGCCGCCAGCGCCGACGTCGCGCGAGGAGTCCGGCGCCGGCGCCGCGGCCGCCCCCGCCGGGCGCCTTGGGAGGGCGGGGCCCGCCGCCGCGGCGCTGGCGGCGGCAGCGCTGTCAGGGTGCCTCGCAGCGGCTGCGTCCAGCGCGGGGGCGGCGGCGGCGACGGCGCGCCCCAGGGTGGCGGTGTCCGCCGCGGGCGCCGCGGGCGGGGCGGGGCTGGCCGCCAGCGCTCGGGGCGGGCGCGGCCTGGTAGACTCTATGCCCACGGGAATTTTTGGTAGCAAGTCGCGGGAGCCTTGCATGTCCTCGCAATGCCGTGTGTCGGGATGCACTGGCGTGCGTTAGCGTCTCGTGACTGGTGGGGAGGCGCCGGTTCAGTGCCGACCTGGCGCAGACTCAGCGCTGATGGGCGTCGATTCAGCCTCGGTTGGCGTCGTTGGCCAGCGTCGATGCGCAAGAGCCAGCAGGATGGTATGGGAGGCTCCCCTGCGTTGCCACCGAAGGG